AGAACTAGTCTATAGAAAGTAGTACTTTCAAAAAAAAAAAGTGAAATACCTCCAGCTGAACTGCTGGTCATGGGGCGTAAACAACTGGAACTAATTTTTGAAAATAACTCAGACACAGCTGAAATAAACCTTGACATAAATATGCAAAGCAAAACAATAAAACAAGAGATAAATATAGAAACAGGCCATTGGAGAAAATGTTTCTCCAAGAGCATCCAGCTGATCTTTAACATTTAATCACAATTCACCAGTCAATGCTTCCTCACATATTTATCAAGAGACTTCCCTGTAAAGCCCTCCAGTACATACTGGTCATGTATTTGCAGGGGCCACTTAAACAAATCAATTAGTCATTAGTACCTGGTGTGAATCCAGCTTAATGAAACAGTCTTTTCATCCTTTAGCATAGATCCAAAAGAATCCCTGCAGGGATCTTGAGAGTCATGCTGTGTTAACAACTGAGATCAGGGGCAGAGAGATCATGTTAGAGCTTTACATCATTTGCAGTTTAACAATAAAAATCTACATGTGCCTTACTAGGACGAGTTTGTTTGGTTAACTCCCAGGTATTAGTGAGTTTACATTCATTTTATGGGATTAAAGTCTTAAAAAAGTTGCCCAAGGTCATAACTAGTTAAGAAGGTTACCACTTTCTTGATGGATGGAATAGACTACAAAACCAGTGCAAGGCTCTTACGCATATTTAATTTTTTTCCTCCAGCTGTGTATAAGTTGACAGGGAACAGCTCTTTTTTTTTCTATTTAATAAGTAAAAGATACACCACACAGACAATATGAGCAAATCCAGAAGCAGGTTAAATACGGGAGCTCAGGAACCAAGCCTAGAGCCTGAGGTTGCTCTATTTGCACAGCCTGAGCTGGGCCAGGCAGCGCAGCGACCTCAAACACTGGTTTTGCAAGAGGGCAAAGCCAGCAGCTGGCTGATTATATATAATAATATAATTCTATAGGTGCAAGGATACTCACCTTCTCCAAAGCTCAGAGGCTCTTGTCATTGCAGGAAACAGAAAGCACCAGCTACACCACTACAACCACCTTCTCCTGATGGTGGGTGCCTTCACAAACTGAATAAAATAACTGAGCAGGCTTCATTTTCACAGGCACTGATGAGATCTAAACCACCCACCCAATATATTCACCAGCTTAACTCCAGGAGTACTGATCTAGAAAAGAAAACGAGCTTGGATGCCCCTTGCATCCCCGTCCATCAGTGCTGACGGAGCAGATGCATCTTACTCTAGATTCCTGTGAAGCAAGAAAAGTGGAAGAGGTCAAGTACTACACCTTACACACCATCTTTTTTTGAATGCCTTTAAAAAGCTCACAGATTTACTGTGTACATAAGAGAAAAGTGATGAGAATCATAGAATCACAGAATGGGTTGGAAGGGACCTCAAAGAACATCTAGTTCCAACTCCCCTGCCATGGGCAGGGACACCCTCCACTACACCAGGTTGCTCAAAGCCTCATCCAACGTGGCCTTGAACACTTCCAGGGATGGGGCAGCCACAGCTTCTCTGGGCAACCTGTCCCAGTGCCTCACCACCCTCAGAGGGAAGAATTTCTTCCTTAGATCTCATCAAAATCTCCCCTCTTTCAGTTTAAAGCCGTTGCCCCATGTCCTCACACTACATGCCCTTGTCCAAAGTCCCTCTCCAGCTTTCCTGTAGCCCCTTTAAGTACTGGAAGGTGTTGGAAGGTCTCCCCGGAGCCTTCTCTTCTCCAGGCTGAAGAGCCCCAACTCTCTCAGCCTGTCTCCATAGCAGAGGTGCTCCAGCCCTCAGATCATCTTCATGGCCTCCTCTGGACCCGCTCCAGCAACTCCATGTCCTTCTGATGTACCTGCACATTTGAATACAGCTTCTACAGTACGTTCCAGTGTGTCCCAAAACAGCAATTCCACCTATTGCAATCAGATCATGGCTTCTGAAATTTCTTCATGATATCACGACGAAAATACCACTGGATACGTGTTCTCTTGTTTTGCCTCTCACACACGAGAGATGTTGTCACCTCTTGAAATTTAAGATAGACAACTTGCCTCTCACACACGAGTCTGTTGTCACCTCTTGAAATTTAAGATAGACAAATACTTAAGCATCAGACACGTTTATTAGACAATTCAAAAAGTCAGTTTTATTAGACAGTTTGAAAAGGAAAGTAGAATATGTTTTAATACTTCATCATCTGAAGAGCCTGGCAACCACAGAAAATCGAAGTAGTGTTTACAAAAGTTACAAAAGCTGCACTGCACCGTGAATTACAGAAAAGGTGGTTAGTTGACAAGGAAGCTTTGCAAAATGCAGTAACAGATTCTCAGCCCATTACGAGACACAGTGCTATTGCCATGTGTATGCATCCACAAAATCAGCACAGTATTGAAATTAAGGCACTTGGGATACATAGTATTCACTTCCATATCGGAAAACAATTTCAGAGAAACCACAGTAAATTGCTACTGGTAGATAGTGACAGTATGCCCAGTACTGACCATCAAAGCACCAGGTTTGTGTGAAGCTCTTGATAAAAAAAAAGCACTGATTTTTTTTTTTTTTTTTTTACCCTATTTGATATCGAAGACTCACTCAAGGAAATTTACTTTTAAAGAGGTCAAGGAAGATTTCCGTGATTTAAACACTGTTAAACACATTTAAACATTTTAAAATAAAAGTCCATGGTGGAAACTGCACAAAGTTCCCATTAAGGATTAGTGCATGTAGCTGCTTCAAAAAGAAGCGAAAAGAAAGCACTGACTTTCCATTCAACATTCACCTGCCACTTCATGAGGTACCCACCAGCCACAGTAATATCAAAGGAAATACAGAATAACAGAATAATTTTGCAAAGCAGCAACCTCTCTTCCAGACTGCACTTTCCAGTCCTGCTTTTTGGATTGTCAGATGTTGACTGCCTGGATCCCAGTCTGCACAAGCACACTATTTGCTAACAGACCTGGAAGAGATTCTACAAATAATGATGCTCTAATTTAAAGAGAAATTAATCTCCTCACTGTCTTGAAAGTAAAATTTTGTCAGTAATTGTGTAGTTTTGTAGACTTCCATTGCAGCCTTTGGTACATAAATTCTAAGGAGTAAAAATACTCGAGAATCTGACTCTGCAAGCACATGAGTATTTTAACAGGAGTTAAGCAGGATTCTTAGCAATGACATTAGGTGTTCATAGGATCAGGCACTTAAATTGTGTATTATTGTTGTTGTTTCACTTCGCCAATTTGAATGAAAAACGGCATGTAGAGGAAAAAAAAGCAGCTTCATCAAGAATCAAAGCAGGACTTACACATGGAAACTGATTACTCTGAACAATCTGGCTTGTAATTAGAACAAATCGTTTCCACAGCAGTACTTTACAAATCAGGAGGGTCCAACGGACTTAATCTGAAGTCAGGAGGAAGAGACTAAGGGAACTTGTTTACACACAGTATCTTCCCAAGTATATTCCTGCTTTGTGATGAAGCATCAACACCCAGAAAAAAACCTGTCCTTTCATGTCCTTCTTTTACAAGAACGACAGCCTGGACACACTTCAGTCTAAAACACAGCTACTCAGCATTCCTCAGCACTGAAGTGTTCACCTTGCACACACCTGAAGTTGAAATTTAAAACAGGTAATTCACATTCCTGAAACCTGACATTCCATTTCTACTTAAGTGATGCCACTTGGACCACAGAATGATTTCTGTATCAGAGCACTCACGTAACACTCCTCTGTTTGTGCACCTTTGCTCTGCACAGCAATCCACAGGACACCATTCTGCAGCACATGAGTACTGAGGGTGTTTGGAGAGCAGCATAAGTAGTTCCAAACAAATTAGGGGGCAAAGAGCACTGCGTTGGTGAAGCTGCCACATCTTGTAGGGTGGAATCTATTATCTCCTTATATAATGTCCCTCATGGCTATACAGGGTGACAGCAGTGAACTCACTCATACAACTATGAAACACTCACTTGCAATCTGCTAGTCTAAAGAACTAAAACATTCCCTATGCAGGAATTCCTTACTTCACAGAGCAGGAACCTCTTTGTGTCCATTTTTCTATGAAAGAATAAACTAAGGTGTCTCTTCTTTTACCCCTTTACAGATTACTGAAATGTCTTCTAGGGTTAGGGTTGTACCAGTATGCATTTTTATAAAACTACATGCCTCCCCAATTTGCAGGATTTAGCAAGTCAAAACAGTAACAAAGGTTACTTTTGTAGGTGTGATTACGTGACTGTTTACCAAGATAATGCTGTTTAAAAATACAGTGTTTTAATATCACAATCTTTTCCTACAAACAAAAAAAAAATAGTAGTTGAACGAGTATGTTTTAAAAGCAGTGAAAACTGAGGAGACAAAAAGTCCTACCCAGCAGAACACTCCCTTCTTTGCAATTCAGGCATTTCACACCTAAGAATACAGAGTTGCACGCTACATTGTGATTCTAAGTGTCCTGAGAGTAGTTCCTTCTTTTGTGAACCTTCTAAGAGAAGGAATGTCAGCTCTAAGCATTGAAGAGGCATTAAAATATATCATTCCCAAATTACATCCACAGTTGTTAAGCTGAAAGAAGGATTTTTTTAACCAGTTATTTTCTTCTTCTTTCACTGGCTGGTAAAAGAGTTGGCATAAGCTATGTTTGGTTTTATGTTATCGAGAAAAAAAACATGCTAAAATTACAATTACTCAAATGAAAAGTACTCATTCATCCCTAATCAAAGCAGAAAGATTGATCAAATTGAACGATACCAAGTAGCATACTCTTTATATCGGCCATTTTGATGACATGGTTAAAAAACCCCAAAAGGCTTGCTGACCAATATCACATATATCAACGATACTGCTGTGATTAAAACAAAAGTTAATGCATATATAATGAAAAAACGAGTAAAACAGCTTCTGTTTTGTAAACTTATTTGGGGACAAATTTGCAGTGGTGATTCCAGCTGTCACCAGGGCCTTTTCCCTTTGGCTGAATGCATTTTTAAAAAGCATGTTATGGTCTGATAATGTAAAACCACATGCATATGCACACACACACAGCGTGCACACACACACAAATGTTAAATATATACACGTATACACACAGAGTACACATATGGTGATACATGCTGTAAAATATTACCAGCACCAGAGCGATGTCCTACCACTGCTCCCAGCTAAAGTCATCTCCTCTACCAAACACAAGAAAAAAGCCTAAAATAGTAAGGAAAATGACTGCATTGCCAGCCAGCACCAGACCACAGGCTCCCCATTTGATCTGAAATGCAAGGAAATGAAACAATCAAAGCGGTTCTTGTAAGACAGGTTCAGGGCAGTTATTTAAATGCATTAGATAAACTCAACAAAATACTACAGAAAGGTGCTAAAAGCATAAAGAAAAAAAAGACAGACATTAAATAATTCAATTTACATGAGTAATTATTCAGTCAGAAACCACTGGTATTTTTAATGCAACACTTCAGACAGGCTAATATGTTTCAGAACAAAATAATTACCTTGCCATACAAGTCACTCAAGCATACCTAAGTCCTAGAAGAATATTTGATGAGACTAGCGTTCTCCTTTAATGGCTAGGTGACAAAATAAAAGACCGCCTTTCAAATAAATGCCAGGAACAAGCACGGAAAACAGTACGTGGTTTTAGAGGTAAATAGCTTGCTTTGATGATCTGACCCACTAAGCTCGCTCAAATAAGGGCTCTAAAAAGATATAGCTATGAATGAGTTCCCCCTCGTGGTCACTACTGATTCTGCCCACTGCCAGGTCCACCACTTCAAACCAAAACAGCAGCGCCAGGGCAATCGTGCATCACAAATAACTGAAATTTAAGCACTCAAGTTGGAAGCAAAACTGAAAGAGCGAAGGGGAAAACCGACACCACACATAAAAATGTCACTGGGGAGTTTTGGAGCCAGGGCAAAAAAGAGGTTTTTTTTGCCTCGCAAACAAAGGTGACAAAAATCTCACCACTGAAGAGCAGCTCAGAAAGCAAAGAGGAAAGAAGCGAGCAGAATTTCCTCAGACTTTGAAGGGACAAAGCGTGAGCTTGGGAAGTGCTTTGGAAACCAGAAGGGCAGCTCTGGAAGTTTGGCTTTTTAGCTTTTATCTGATAACGTGCTCCATTCACCACGTTTTCAGCATCCCAAATGGAGAAAGCAGACATCCTGAGATAAAAATAAGGAAGGTGGCATGAGCAGCGGTGCAAAAGCTGGCAACACAGAGAGGCATGAGATGGAGGAGGAGATAATATCTTGCATTAGATCAAAACAAAGCTGGAAAAACAAAAAACAACAGCTAAAAGCTTTTCAGTCATGCCAGTCCTTTTTTAAGGTCAAAAAGCAGCATTGACAGACAAAATTTCAGTGGAGTGGTTTTTTTTTTTTCAATTATTTCAGCAGAGTGATTTTTTATTTTCTAGATTCTGATTTTCAGCAGAATCTAGAGAAACCACAATAAGGCAATTAAAGACAGGCTTTACAAACAGCAACAGTGAGCTTACAGATTCTACTCAGCAACTGGTGCCTTACAACAAAAACCAGCCAGCAGAACTTACCGCTTCAACCCGTGCAAGGATGATAGGAAATCCGAAGGCAGAAACAACGATTCCGGTTGTGAAGAAATACGCCAATTCCCTGCAGGCACTGCTGGCTGCGTCGCTGTCATCACTGACTCTTTTGGCAATGAAGTGCGGAATGGGGCAGATGAAGTAAAATATTAAGACAAACAGAGGCCAGTATACACTGGGGAGGGGGAAAAAAGGAAACACGTAATCAGTTTAGACAGATGCTGCAATAAAAAGTATCTTCTGTTTAGAAAAAGTAATCGCAATAGTCTGACTTTATGGTTTGAAAAGCGGATTACGTGATTTAACCACAAGCTTTCTCACCCAACGGGGAAATCCTGCCTCATTTTCCCTGTGCGCTGGCACAAACCCTCATCCAGAGCAGGATCCACTCTCTTGCACGACCAAGTATTAATTTATTTCACATTTGTATTCCTTTGCTGCTTCAGCTCCCAACACCGCCTCCCAAAACCGCCTCCCACCGCACGGCGAACAGGAAAGCAGGACAGGGACCAAGAGCTTTCCCAAATCCGAGGGATCCTGGAGGATAAACAAGGCACACCCTCGCAGGCCCATCTCCGTGCGGGAGCTCTTAGCAGTTTCACGGGAATTTTGACGTGCAACGGACAGCCCAGTTGGAGCCTTTGGGGAGGAGGGGTGTTTAAAAGCAGGGAAAGAACTGTGCGAGGTTAAAAATGACTGTTCAGGGAGATGGCGCCGCTTCTCCTGAGAAAGCACAGAGCTGCTTTCCCTCATTTTTAACGGAAATGCAAGAACTGCCTCAGGAAAAAAATTTAATGACAACAAACTGCCAAGCGCCAGAAAGCGGGCGACTGCTGGAAGCCCACTAGAGCCAAACAGCTCAAATAAAGGAGATTAACACCTCCACTAAGCGATGTTAAGAAGGGGAATTTTGGGGAAGGGAGGCGGCCCGCTCACCCGTAGTACTCCAGGGCGCAGCCCAGCATGAGGAACGTCAGCCCGATGGCTCCGCTGAAGGACAGCGCCACGAGAGCTGCAACAGCACAAGGCGGGCGGTGAGGCGG